GTGTGTGTGTGTGTGTGTGTGTGTGTGTGTGTGTGTGTGTGTGTCCAGGCTCCCTCTCCCTGTGCATTGGATCGTACTGCAGCCTGGCTGCTCAACATGAACTCCGCCTCCTCCTATGGCGAGACGGAGGACGATCGCCATGACGACCCCCTCATCGAGAAGGTAAGAGAGGTGTGTGTGTGTGTGTCTCTGACTCTGTGTGTGTGTGTGTGTGTGTGTGTGTGTCTCTCTCTGTGTGTGTGTGTGTGTGTGTGTGTGTGTCTCTCTCTGTGTGTGTGTGTGTGTGTGTGTGTGTGTCTCTCTCTGTGTGTGTGTGTGTGTGTGTGTGTGTGTCTCTCTCTGTGTGTGTGTGTGTGTGTGTGTGTGTGTCTCTCTCTGTGTGTGTGTGTGTGTGTGTGTGTGTGTCTCTCTCTGTGTGTGTGTGTGTGTGTGTGTGTGTGTCTCTCTCTGTGTGTGTGTGTGTGTGTGTGTGTGTGTCTCTCTCTGTGTGTGTGTGTGTGTGTGTGTGTGTGTCTCTCTCTGTGTGTGTGTGTGTGTGTGTGTGTGTGTCTCTCTCTGTGTGTGTGTGTGTGTGTGTGTGTGTGTCTCTCTCTGTGTGTGTGTGTGTGTGTGTGTGTGTGTCTCTCTCTGTGTGTGTGTGTGTGTGTGTGTGTGTGTCTCTCTCTGTGTGTGTGTGTGTGTGTGTGTGTGTGTCTCTCTCTGTGTGTGTGTGTGTGTGTGTGTGTGTGTCTCTCTCTGTGTGTGTGTGTGTGTGTGTGTGTGTGTCTCTCTCTGTGTGTGTGTGTGTGTGTGTGTGTGTGTCTCTCTCTGTGTGTGTGTGTGTGTGTGTGTGTGTGTCTCTCTCTGTGTGTGTGTGTGTGTGTGTGTGTGTGTCTCTCTCTGTGTGTGTGTGTGTGTGTGTGTGTGTGTCTCTCTCTGTGTGTGTGTGTGTGTGTGTGTGTGTGTCTCTCTCTGTGTGTGTGTGTGTGTGTGTGTGTGTGTCTCTCTCTGTGTGTGTGTGTGTGTGTGTGTGTGTGTCTCTCTCTGTGTGTGTGTGTGTGTGTGTGTGTGTGTCTCTCTCTGTGTGTGTGTGTGTGTGTGTGTGTGTGTCTCTCTCTGTGTGTGTGTGTGTGTGTGTGTGTGTGTCTCTCTCTGTGTGTGTGTGTGTGTGTGTGTGTGTGTCTCTCTCTGTGTGTGTGTGTGTGTGTGTGTGTGTGTCTCTCTCTGTGTGTGTGTGTGTGTGTGTGTGTGTGTCTCTCTCTGTGTGTGTGTGTGTGTGTGTGTGTGTGTCTCTCTCTGTGTGTGTGTGTGTGTGTGTGTGTGTGTCTCTCTCTGTGTGTGTGTGTGTGTGTGTGTGTGTGTCTCTCTCTGTGTGTGTGTGTGTGTGTGTGTGTGTGTCTCTCTCTGTGTGTGTGTGTGTGTGTGTGTGTGTGTCTCTCTCTGTGTGTGTGTGTGTGTGTGTGTGTGTGTCTCTCTCTGTGTGTGTGTGTGTGTGTGTGTGTGTGTCTCTCTCTGTGTGTGTGTGTGTGTGTGTGTGTGTGTCTCTCTCTGTGTGTGTGTGTGTGTGTGTGTGTGTGTCTCTCTCTGTGTGTGTGTGTGTGTGTGTGTGTGTGTCTCTCTCTGTGTGTGTGTGTGTGTGTGTGTGTGTGTCTCTCTCTGTGTGTGTGTGTGTGTGTGTGTGTGTGTCTCTGGCTCTGTGTGTGTGTGTGTGTCTGTCTCTGTGTGTGTGTGTGTCTCTGACTGTGTGTGTGTGTGTGTGTGTGTGTGTGTGTGTAGTACCAGCAGGAGATTGCGTTGCTGCAGGAGAAGCTGCGAGTGTCGTCTCTGCGTCAGGAGGAGTGTGAAGCTCGTCTGATGGTTCAGGATCAACAAAACCAACGAATGCTGCAGGAGTACCAGGTCAGACCACACCTGCTCTACCTGACTCACCTGTACAGACACTCTGCTCATGACACGGTCACATGACACGGTCACATGACACAGCTGGACCAATAGGAGTGTTTTTTTCAGGCTCGGCTGGAGGACACAGAGAGCAGACTGAGGAGACTGCAGGACGACAAAGACCTGCAGATGAACAGCATCATCAGCAGGTCTGACCACCTGTCTGTGTGTACACCTGTCTGTCTGACCACCTGTCTGTGTGTACACCTGTCTGTCTGAACAACTGTCTGTGTGTACACCTGTCTGTGTGTACACCTGTCTGAACACCTGTCTGTGTGTACACCTGTCTGTCTGAACACCTGTCTGTCTGTACCACCTGTCTGTCTGAACACCTGTCTGTCTGTACACCTGTCTGTCTGAACACCTGTCTGTCTGAACACCTGTCTGCCTGAACACCTGTCTGTCTGAACACCTGTCTGTCTGTATACCTGTCTGTCTGAACAACTGTCTGTGTGTACACCTGTCTGAACACCTGTCTGTGTGTACACCTGTCTGAACACCTGTCTGTGTGTACACCTGTCTGTCTGAACACCTGTCTGTCTGAACACCTGTCTGCCTGAACACCTGTCTGTCTGAACACCTGTCTGTCTGTATACCTGTCTGTCTGAACAACTGTCTGTGTGTACACCTGTCTGAACACCTGTCTGTGTGTACACCTGTCTGAACACCTGTCTGTGTGTACACCTGTCTGTCTGAACACCTGTCTGTCTGAACACCTGTCTGTCTGAACACCTGTCTGTGTGTACATCTGTCTGCCTGAACACCTGTCTGTCTGAACACCTGTCTGTGTGTACACCTGTCTGAACACCTGTCTGTGTGTACACTTGTCTGAACACCTGTCTGTCTGAACACCTGTCTGTCTGAACACCTGTCTGCCTGAACACCTGTCTGTCTGAACACCTGTCTGTCTGTATACCTGTCTGTCTGAACACCTGTCTGTCTGTACACCTGTCTGTCTGTACACCTGTCTGTACACCTGTCTGTCTGTACACCTGTCTGTACACCTGTCTGTCTGAACACCTGTCTGTCTGAACACCTGTGTACCTGTGTGTCAGTTACCTGTTTGTCTGAACACCTGTGTACCTGTGTGTCAGTTACCTGTTTGTCTGAACACCTGTGCAGGTTGATGGCGGTGGAGGAGGAGCTGAAGAAGGATCACTCTGACATGCAGGCTGTGGTCGACTCCAAACAAAAGATCATAGAGGCACAGGTACCTGTCTTTCTTCCTGTCTGTTTACCTGTTTAGCCTCTCACCTCTCTCTCTCTATCACCTGTGTGTCTCACCTGCCTGTCTCACCTGTCTCTCTTTCACGTGCCTGTCTCCCACCTTCCTGTCTCACCTGTCTCTCTCTCACTTGCCTGTCTGTCACCTGTCTGTCTCTCACCTGTCTCTTTCTCACCTGTCTGTCTCTCAGGAGAAGAGGATAGCGAGTCTTGATGCAGCGAACACTCGCCTGATGGCGGCTCTGACACAACTGAAGGAGAGGTATGCTGTGACATCACAGAGGAACGGCCTGTCTCCTAGCAACACATCGTCTCTGCAGATCACCGAGAACGGAGAGTTCCGCAACTCTGGCAACTGCTAGGCAACCTGCTGCTGAGCTCTGATTGGCCGTGACTCATTGAGCGGTAGGGGCTGAACTGCTGGCAGCAAGATGAAGTCATCGACCAGGCTTTTTAAAAAATCAACCAATCACAGCCGTCGTAGTTTCCATAGACCTGTCAATCAACCCTCCTACAGCCACGGATCTGACCTCTGACCAGACTCCGCCCATGTTGCTAGGTTACCCCTCAGTTCCTGTTTTGTTTTGCATGTTTTCTCTTTGAACATCTTCCGATGTCTGACATCATATCCTGTTTCCTTTTGATACTTCCTGTTAAGAGCTGGAAACTTCCACCAACCAAACTGAACACATCATCTGGAACAACCCCACCTGTGTAAGGCTCTGGTCCAATCACACTGACTCTTTCCATGTATGGCTTCAGTCCTACTGGACCAACTTTGGCTGTATATGGCTCTTGTCTAATTGGACTACACTCATCCATATATGGCTCTGTTTTAATCTGATTAACTGGAGCAACTCCAGCTGTATATGGCTCTGGTGTGACTAAACTCAGAACTGTTTATCTGTTTTTAGGTTCTTTATCTTCAGATTGTGATTTAAAGGAGCAGTCCAACAGTCAGATCAGCTTCATGTCTGTACAGAGACAGATTAGCCTAGCTTAGCACAAAGACTGGAAGCAGAGGGAAACTGTTGAACTGTAGTCGACCCTCCAGACAGTTAGAGGTTAGTTTGTGTTGTTTCAGAGAATTCTACTGATTTTAGTGTAAAAATCAGATTTTATTGTAAAACAGTAAAAACTCTTTAAATTGTGATGAATAGTTTGTGAACACACACACACATATCTGCTGTCCTGTATAAACTCTGCTGTTCTCTACTGGACTCTAAGGTTCTTTGCTGGACTCTGTTATACTGTATTCATGAGAAATGTTTTGTTTGTTTCCTCTTGTTGTTATTTATCAACATCAGTATTTATAAAGAGATGCTCCAATAAACTATTACACTATCCAACTGTTGTATAGCAATGAGTGACAGGAGACACCATGGCAACAAGCAACACACACACACACACACACACACACACACACACACACACACACACACACACACACACACACACACACACACACACACACACACACACACACACACACACACACACAGAGGTATCAGGTATGGTCAGTGCTGCTTCACACAGAGACAGACAGGTGTGCAGGCAGACAGCTTTTATTTATTGCAGCAGTGAGACCCACAGCTCTTTATCTCTAAACAGGAAGTGATGTCACAGGTTCTCCATGAGGCGCTCCAGCGGGTCGATGTTCCAATACTCGTGGTTCCAGCCCAGAAACCAGCCGGTAAAGGTCGGCGGTTCGAACCCCTGCTTCACCATCACTGTGGGGGTGCGAGGGTCTCTGGAGGACGGGTCGCTCTCTATGTACTGGACAGCTGCACAGGAAACACAGTTAGCCCTTAGCATCCTGGACCACCTGGACCAGGTTCAGTCTCAGGTACCTGTAACCAAGTAGTTGTTGTGTGTTGGATCAGGTGATGCTGGGTTCACACTTCCTGTCTGTCTCACCTGACACCGCCGCCTCCGTCTTCTCCTGCTCATGAGCCTTGTTTCCGATCCAAACAAACACCTGCAGGAGGAAAAAGGAAATGAGGGGTTGTAGCAGGAAAGGAGGCAAGGATGCCACAGGGGCGGGACCTGTAACCATGGTGACAGCGGAAGAGACTTACCTGGTCCCAGGTATCCAAGATCATGACATCATCAGGAGCAAGGTCATCCTGCGTCAGCTCACCTGGAACCTCCTCCATCTGAACACAGAGAGAGATAGTGACTGTGTGACTTGACCATGTGACCTGATCATGTGACCACGTGACCAGCCTGACATACCAGGAAGTTGCCAGTCTTGTTGGAGCAGGCGAACAGACGAGGAGGATGAGCCTCCATCTCATTCTCCATCCGGGGAGAGCGACAGTAGTCTTCCTGCCCTCCCAACGCATCCCAAAATGCATCTGTACACAAACACACAGTCAGGTAGGGTGGACTTCAGCTGGTCTGAATGTTGAGACTCCCCCATCACTCACCTTCCTCCTCCCCCTCCTCCAGTGGAGCAGGTGTCACCTGCAGGATCCCGGCCAGGTGTTCGGCTCCCTGGACCTCCACGGAGCTGCTCCTGCAGCCTCTCCAGGTCCACGATCCAGAGGAGGACACCAGCAGGAAGACGTCACTGGAGTTCAGACTGGAGGAGGACGGATCCACCTGAAGACGACAGAGGAGACACACTGGTCTAACTGGTCTAACTGGACCGACCGGTCTGACTGGTCTAACTGGTCTAACTGGTCTAACTGGACTAACTGGACCGACCGGTCTGACTGGTCTAACTGGTCTAACTGGTCTATCTGGACTGACCGGTCTGACTGGTCTAACTGGTCTAACTGGTCTATCTGGACCGACCGGTCTGACTGGACTGACCGGACCGACTGATCTAACTGGTCTGACCGGTCTAACTGGACTGAAGGGTCTGGATCAGATCCATGATATAAACCTGATCCCTGTCTGATCCAGACTCAGTCTCTGAATCTGGTTTCTCTCTCACCTCCACAGCTCTGGTGTCTCTCGCTGGATTGGCTCGAACCTGGAACAAGCGTGTATTTGCCGCCTCTGATTGGCCACCTTCTCTGGAAGTCCCACCTTTGTACACCACCATTGGCTGGCCCCTGAACAAGCTCATGAGGTGGGCGGGCTCTTTTCCCTGAACCACTCGCACCTGCAGACAGGTAACAGTGAGGTCTGTAAGACTGGAGGTTCCTACAGATCTGGATCCAGAGTCCAGAGTCCAGAGTCCAGTACCTGAACAGCACCGCCTCCCAGCTCATCATCCATCTGGACAGCCAAGATGGCCGATGCTCCAACCTCGTCCTGGCTAGACTCCGCCCCCTGCCTGTAAACACAGATCCTTGTTATTGTTGCTGTAGCAGGAAGCGAACACCAGGGGGAGCTCAGAGTCACAACACGTGTGTTAGACCACGTGTGACATGACGTCTCACCACATGTAGACAATGTGTCCGTCTCTGTCTCCATGGTGATACTGGTACAGGATGATGTAACTGTCTCCTCCATAGAACTGACCAAAGACTGACAGGTCCACCAGAACTTTCTCTGACCCCTCAACACGCCACACCTGAGACAGACAGGTAGACAGGTCAGACAGATAGGTAAAGAGACAGGCAGGCCAGAAAGACAGGTGAAGAGAGACAGACACCACCCTCCTCACCTGCTTCTCTCCATCTCCTCTGTCCACCATACCGTGCTGTGCTGCCATGGCGTCTGATTGGTGGAGCTTCGACACGTCAAACGGCACCTGTCCAATCAGAGGAGTTAGGACTGGTTTGGTCGGGTCTGGGTCTGGAACACTTTGGTCCTGGACTAGACCTTGATTGGTTTACCTTCTTGATCTTTGCTATCTGATTGGACACATAGGCCGTTCCCATGCCAACGGTGTCGTCAGGATCCGTCCAGTCCTTAAAGTATTGTTTGAAGAGAGGAGTCTCCCCGTGTTCAGGAAGGACCTGGACCTGAGGGGACAGAGTCAGGGGGGGTGTGTGTGTGTGTGTGTGTGTGTGTGTGTGTGTGTGTGTGTGTGTGTGTGTGTGTGTGTTTACCTGTGTGTGTGCTGGGTAGTTCATCTTGTGGATGAACTGCTCTGAACTTTTCAGAACAGCATGGCGCTCCTCAGCGTTCGAATCCTTACCTACACACACACACACACATGCACTTTATAATGACTCTCAGGTGACTGTCCTCATTGACCTATCAGGTTACAGATTTCAGCTCCTCAGTCTGAACTGGTGAGAGAGAAGAGGTGAAACTTTGAACCTTTCCAGACGAAGATGTGTCCGTTGGCTCCGTTGTCGAGTATGAAACAATCGCTGGTCTGCAAAGCATCCTGGGAAAAGGGGTTGTGCTCTGCTACCATGGTAACTTCTATGTCCCCATCTGTATTCGACACCTGAGAGACAGACAGGTGAAGACTTCCTGCTGCACAACAACAACAAGTCCTAAGGTGAGAGACACCTGCCTCACCTTGTAGAGCCGAGCCTGCTTCCTGTTGGAGGCGTCCATCTTGGTGTCGTCACTGTGAGCTTCAGGAAGCTCCGGCTTCTCCCCGAGGACCTGAGGTCAGGGGTCAGGGGTCAGACGTCATGGACTCATTGATCAAAGGTCTGTCATATCAACCAGACAGTTACTTCCTCCTCCATGTTTCTGTGCAGACGACTTTCTGACGTTCACGTCAGTTTTCCCAGGAGGAAACTGTCATATTCCGACACCACATGAACGCAGCACGGACCTCTGCTTCACATTAACACACTGCAGTACAGTACAATACTCTCACTGTAGTATCAGTATGTTTTTGTCAGGTCATGTGACGTCATCACCTCCAGCATCCTGTCTGGCTCCGCCCCTTCATCACAGATCAGCAGCTTGGCCCGCCCACACCGCTCATCGTCACGGATACCCTTAGACACCTGTCAATTAACCAATCAATCAGTCGTGCATGATGTCACTCAATAATGATGATTTCATGAGGTGATGTCACCACTCACCACGGTGGCCTTCAGCTTCTCAAAGTGGTTACTATGGGAACCAGACCACTGGATGATTTCCTGTAAAAAGAAAGAGACAGGTTCAGAGCTGTCTGTCTGATGGCCTGTCTCACTTCCTGTGTCACCTCTCTCTACCTGTCTCACCTCTCTCTACCTGTGTCTCTCTACCCATCTCACCTCTGTCTACCTGTCTCACTACTCTACCTGTTTCACCTCTCTCTACCTGTCTCACCTCACTACCTGTCTCACCTCTTTCTACCTGTGTCACCTCTCTACCTGTCTCACCTCACTACCTGTCTCGCCTCTTTCTACCTGTGTCTCTCTACCCGTCTCACCTCTCTCTACCTGTGTCTCTCTACCCGTCTCGCCTCTCTCTACCTGTCTCACCTCTCTCTACCTGTGTCTCTCTACCCGTCTCACCTCTCTCTACCTGTGTCTCTCTACCTGTGTCACCTCTCTCTACCTGTGTCACCTCTCTCTACCTATGTCTCTCTGCCATTCTCACCTCTCTCTCTACCGGTCTCACCTATCTCTACCTGTGTCTCTCTACCGGTCTCACCTCCCTGTACCTGTCTCACCCCTCTACCTGTTTCACTTCTCTCTACCTGTCTGTCTCACCTCTCCCAGGTCCAGGATGAAACTGTCGCCCTGGTTGAAACTCTCCCACGTGACAGGAACCTCTGTTGCCCTGACGACGTGTCGACCTTTGACCTGCAGCAGCCTCTGAACATCCACGTCATTGGTCACCACATGATTGAACCCTGAGGCCACACCCCCTTTCTGAGAAGAAACAAGAAGTGATGTCATCAATGCCAAAAACAGTTCTTCAAGTCAACTCAGGAAAACGTGTATCTTTACTGCAGTATCAGTAGTACTCTCAGTACTCTCAGTATCAGTAGTACTCTCAGTGTCAGTTGTAATCTCTGAACTGATAATAAGTAAACAATACATCAATAAATAAATAAACAGACCATCAGACAAATGTCAGAGTAGAAACTAAGCAATTAAACAGAAAAGGTTCAGAGTTCAAATGTAAGAAAGGTACTACAGTACTGGGAGTTCTGGTCTTGTAGTTACCATGTACTTGAGCCCTGTTTTGAAGTATCCGGTGAAGGTACTGGACTCGTGGCCCTGGACTTCACGGTACTGGACCGGCCCCCCCTGCAGGAACTCGTCCATCTGAACTGCAAAGATGGCCGCTGCTCCGCTCTCATCCTGAGAACATTCTGTACCTGCAGACCAACCAACCAATCACAGAGCAACATCAGAGTCACACCTGTGTCAACGTTCAGGCCATTATACTACTATCAGTGTTAGAGAACAGGAAGTGTACCGGTCTGAGACTGAAGACGTCCCTCAGGGTTCAGCCCTGGGTCCACTTCTGTTCATCATTTATATTAATTTCTATTCATTTCTATTCATTTGTATTTATTTATATTGATTTATATTCAGTTATATTCACTGCAGGTGTAGTAGTATTAGTACATGATGATAGTATTAGTACATGATGTATTGCAGTACCTTGCCAGTAGTGCAGGTCATACTGCAGGGATCCTCTGCGGGTCTCGGTGCTGTGGAGAACCAGGTAAGCATCTCCGCTGTAGAACCCTCCGTACAGACTGTCAGGTACAGGAACCAGCTCCATGTTCTCCACCCGCCACACCTGAAGCCCCGCCTTCTGACCCGCATGTTCAAACTCTGGGTGGAACACCATGATGTCACCTGTAGGGGCAGGACCGCAGAAAAACACCTGAACACAATTATGTTGCCTGCAGGGGGCGGAGCCACACAACACCAGGACCTAAGTTAAGACTTATATTTCAGTCTGAATGATGATGTCAGTGCAGCAGGGACCGTGTCAGGTGTGTTCAATGTTTCTTTTGGTGTCAATAAAGTTTTATTTAAAAAAAAAAAAAAAAAAAAAAAAAGGTCAGTCAGTCACCTGTAGCTTTACCTCTTGGTTTTCAGTCTTAGGAAAACATCTGTTATCTACATTTTCAGTATTTGGTATTAACATGTTGTGTTTCTGCTGCACTGTTCATCTTCCTGCTGTTACACTGTAAATGTCCTCAATGTGAGAAGAAGACAGGATTATCTATCTTTTCTTATTTTCTTTTCTTATTTATATTATCTTTCCTTTTCTTTGCTCTCCTTTCTTTTATTTTTTTTATTTAATCTTTTCTTTCTTTTCTTATCTTTTATTTTCCCAAATGACTTGTGTTTATTCTTTACAGACCAAAATAAAAGAGTAAAGTGATTGTTGTGTATGATGTCTTCAGAGAGACCTCCTCTCCTCACACCTCTAATACCTGAACGTGTCTCAGTGGCTGTGACTGAACACCTGATCTCCTTCACTTATTAAATACATGTAGAACTGAGAAGCTTCACTGAAGAATCTCAAGAACCTCACTGTGAGTCTCTGTCTGATGAGTGAATGTAAATGTTGTAATCTGCAACAGCCTCAGGGACAAATAGCAGAGTGACTCATCTTCTCCAACACAAACATCTTTGCTGCAGCTCAGAGATACAGGAAGTGACTCACCCTCACGGACGGACGGACGGACGGACGGACGGACGGACGGACAGACAGACAGACAGACAGACAGACAGACAGACAGACAGACAGACAGACAGGTCGAAGCTGTTTCACATTTAAACTGCTTAAAGAGGAAGCAGCTTCACAGTTGTTCAAAAACTCCACAGTAAACGCCTCACTGGGGACTGGAACAGCTCCAGGATCAGATTCATAAAGTCCGGAGTGAAGGTGTGAAACTTAGCTGCTGGTCACACATGAGTTATTGATGAGAGGATGAACAGAGACTAATGACGCCATGATGAAGACTAAAAACTGTTGTTAACCTGTTTGTTTCAGAGTCTGACCCAGTCTGGACCTGAACATGGACCTGGACCTGGACTCATGAAAACACAGACGGATGTTAAGTAAAGAGGAAACTCACCGTCAGTGTTTGTTGGACGTCGTTCAGCTGGATGGAAACTGCTGCAGACAAACGAAAGCTGAGCTCCACCTGAGACTGACTGACTGTGAGGGAGGGGCTGCAGGTAACCTTACCTGTACAACCCCCTCACTTCCTCCTGTGTGCAGCTGAGCAGACACACCCAGCTGATCCACACCCAGACTGAACACCAGCTGCTTCCTTTGTGGTGTTCATGAGTCATTGTTCAGAAGACTTTCAGCAAACTTTTCTGTTTCTGTCGATTTAATTCAGATGTTTTATTTTCTACTTATTTTCTATCAGTGAGACTATTGTTAACAGTGTGTGGTGTTTGGTGTGTGCAGTGTGTGTACTGCAATGCTAAATCTATGTGTGTTGAATTTGTTGTATGTTGGTCTATGGTGTTGTGGTGTGGTTGTTGTGTGTGTGTTGTGGTGTGCTTGTGGTGTTTGTGTTGTGGGTGTCTTGTGTGTGGTGTGATGTGTGCTGTGTAGTGTGTGTGTGTGTTTTTTGTATTGCGCTGAGTGACTTCGTTAGGTGTGTTGTTAGTGTGTTGTGTCGGTGGGTTGTGGTGCTTGCTTTCTTGTGTTGTGCTTCTGCTTTGTGTGTTGTGGGTTTGTGTGTGTGTGTGTGTGTGTGCTTGTGCTTGTGTGTGTGTGCTTGTGCTTGTGTGTGTGTGTGTGTGTGTGCTTGTGTGTGTGTGCGTGTGTGTGCTTGTGCTTGTGTGTGTGTGTCTGTCTGTGTCAGGGAGGGAAACGAGATGGTGAAGATCTGTTGGACACATGCAAACTCTCTGTCAGTCAATACAGGAATGGTCATTACTATGACGAGTGTTTGATGTGAAGTGATCAGACAGAGGAACCAGTTTTAGAGTTACACATGACATCAGTGACCAAGACGTGTTCATTTGTTTAATTCAAAGGGGGACATGAGAGTTATGACACGTGTTCTAACTCCTGATGTCTTTATTTATCTTTACTGTTTACGAGGAAGAATGCATGAATTAAATACATTCAGGGGTCTAGTTTGGTCTGGTCTGGGTGTGGTGCACATGCCCCCACCCCTACACACACACACACACACACACACACACACACACACACACACACACATATATATAGACAGAAACACACAAACACCATCTCTATGATTTTGATTAACCTTCAAAATAATTTTTTATCACTTAAGGTAGGCTAAATAACAGAAACACCTCAACTGTCTAAAACTATTTTAATAATAAATTGCCAACTGAGTGTATTAGTAATTATCAGGTGTATGCTCAGGCTCCAAAGTGCCTAACTGCAATTAATTGGTTGATTTTGTTGCTGTTCTCACCTGGGAACTGATATATCTGGTAACCTAAAGATCTTCTTTAATTTTATAGTTTTATCATCATTATCACCCTGTAACATGTTTGACCCCTCTCTCCCCATTTTCAAATGTAACGCAATAACACAGAAACATTTTAACTGACTTACTTTGTTCTTTTATCTGAGAACATTTTTACACTGTGATTTACTTCTACTGATGTCTTTTCAGTAATAGTAGTGACGCCGTTCACATGTTGACGTGCTGACGTCAGTGTAGTGTCCCATCGCCAGTTGTTTCTGTTACCGGTGGAGTTTATTGCTGCTCTGTCTGAACACAGTTAATGTTGCTGTTTTCTTCTTCACAGAGTCTAACTACCTGCTGTACATTTAAACTTACACTAGTTCTGCTCCAGCACTCAGAGCTCTCTGCTCCTTTTAGCAACTCTCACTAACTCAGCAGTCGTTTACATGCTGTTCAGATCTGCTAGTTGCTTTAGCTTAGCAGTCTCCCTCTCTCTCGCTCGCTCAGTGTGGTGTTGTTGTAACTTCACTGTGGGGGATGTGGTATTTACTACATCTTCAGTAAAGTCTGCTGTCTTTAGGCACAGCTCCACTCGTTAACCAGAGCTAACTACTATCCCTGAAAGTTTTCCTCAAAAAAAGTCAGACAAACTCTTTTAAATCCCACAATTTGCAACCTTCATTGACAATTTTTATATCAAAAATGTAGAGATTTTTTTCCCTATATCACCCAGTTTTGGTCTCTTTCTGATATCTTTAATGGTTTTTGAGGAAATCCATCTTACTTTTTTGATATTCACCTTTAAAACAAGAGTCTCAACCAGGTAAAAAGAACTTACTAGAGGTTCTGTTGGACAGCTCTACCGCTACACTCAAAAAACACACACATACACACACATAAACACACACACACATACACACACATATACAGTTTATATATATATATATATATATATATATATTGACAGAAACACACAAACAATGTGTACGATTTTGATTAACCTTCAAAATAAGTCTTAACATG